GATGGGGGGGGGGGGGGGGGGGTGTTGGTATGCTGTCTGATATATGTGTAATATTTTTCATAAAAATACATAAGTCAGCTGTTCACTTGATGTAACGGTCCTGAATAAGAAGTCCACGCAGTACTGAACAACCTCTGCTGCTCGCAGCTGTGCACACTGACAGTAGCCTAATCATAACCATTTTCATGGTCTTCCCAGTATTACGAAAAATACCATTGCATTTGAAGGATAGAATTTGAAGTTAACAGGCGAGAACCAATGAGGTTCATTCTCCGTTACGTAGCTTGTTTGAGGTTCGGTCTCATTCATCAAGCACGTACGGTTGTGCTTCTGTTTATGATCAATGGTTATATGTGAATAAAAGCCTAAATTCAGTATGTTTGTCATATAAAGTGATCGTTTCTCTTTAGAAAATTCGGACTAAATTGCTCCATCCATATAGATTGGTTTTACGGTCTCTTTATAAACTTTTAATTTGCGTAGAGTCAGTGGAGGAGCAGAAATCTCTGCGATTTCATTAAAAATGTCTTCATTTGTGTTCCGAAGATGAACAAAGTTGTACGGGTTTGGAAAAACATGAGGGTGAATAAATGACAATTTTCATTTTTGGGTAAACTAACCCTTTAATACTGCAGATTAAGGGCTGCACAATTAATCACGGTTTCCACTAAATTGCGCTTAAATCGACTGGCTTTGTGCGATTATTAAATCACAAAAGCTGCGATTGTGTTTATGCGCAACTTGTCCGTGAAGAACGGCTCTGTGATCAGTATGAAACTCTGCTCCATCCTAAAGCACTGCGAGTTTCAGTCACTTATAATGTGCATTTGAAAAAGCAACATGCATCAAACATCATTTTAATAAATAAACTTTATTATGGTGAAAATACCTCAGAAAGCAGAAAACTACGTGTGTTATGCTACTTCATCTGGGGGGCATATTTGGAGTTTCTGCACGAGAGCGCCCTCTGGTTTTCAGATGCAGCAGCATCTAGCCGTACTTCACTGACAAAGTGTGCATAAATAGCAGCCAACCACCAAATCATGTGTGGTTTATTTGCGATTAATCGTGCAGCCCTACTGCAGATGCAAATGCCACTCAAAACGCCAGCTTCCTTACATCAATGAAAAGGTTTTTTAGTCTAATAAAAAGGCTGGTAGGATTGTAAATGAATCGATACAATAATGAACATTTGATAAAATAAAGCAAGCACACCATAGTTATGTTTGGGATCATTTTACTTTAAACAGCGGCAATGTTCATTGTATTTTTATTTGTCTTTTATTTAATCAGGTAACACTTTCTGAGATTAAAAATTACAGAAGTGACCTGGCCAAGATGCAGCACTACATTTCATAAGAAGAACACAAAACAATGTGTTAACAACATAATCGAAAAAATAATCGACAGATTAATCGATTATTAAAATAATCGTTAGTTGCAGCCCTAAACAACAATTACAAACATTTACAAATTAATTCTTCCTTTAACAGCTCATTAATCAAGAATTTAAAAGTGTTCATTGACTCTAAGGTCTGCAACTTCAAGTTGTGTTGTAAAAAGTTCCAATCATTGGGCGCTGCAAACTGAAAAGCTTGTTTTCCAAGGTCAGTTTGTGCAAATGGAACCGAAAGAATGTACAAGTCCTGTGAGCGCAGAGAATAAGCTCCAGGAGCTTTAGGCTGGGTGAGGGAACAAAGATATGGAGGCAGTTAACCCTAGATGGATTTATAGATAAATGTGTACCAGTGATTACGTCTGCGTGTTGATAATGACGTCCAACCAACTCTATTATACAAATCACAATGATGGGTCCTAACATTACAATTTAATATAAACCTGAGCGCACCGTGATACAGTGTCCAGAGAACTTAAAAGTTTGGTAGATGCCGATTTATACAGAATGTCTCCATAATCAAGAACTGGCATAAATGTGGCAGAAACCGATCTTCTTGCCTCGAATGAAAAGCAAGGTTTATTTCTCTAATAGGACCCATGCTTTACCTTTAGTTTTGTCCTTAGTTGATTAATATGGGATTTAAATGATAAGGAGTCATCAAGCATAAAACCGAAATATTTATATTCTGTCACTACCTTAATTATAGTACCCTGTGTGGTTTTGAGTGATAGTTGATTTGCCACTTGTTTCCAGGGGTGTGAAGTAACGAATTACAAATACTCACGTTACAGAAATTAAATGGTTTTTATCAGTAATTGTACTTTTTTGAGTAGTTTAAAAATTGTGTACTTGAGTACATTTTAAGTGATGTATCGGTACTTTTACTCCGCTATTTTCCTCCGTTTGTGGTCGTTACATGCTTATTTTAATTTTATTTTTATCCATCAACGTGATTGGATAGAGAGTAATAGGTCTCGTGACTTTCGTCAAATCAAACTGTGCATAGAAAGCTTTAACCACCAACTGTTTATCATGGCTGCTGGAAGTGCATTCTTCAAGCATCAATTCAGTCGCATCTTCCTCTAACTTAATATGTTAAGGTACATTTCAGATTTCTGCTTACTAAATGATTTTTATATATGCTGTCCTATCTACACGGCCTGAAATTTGGTGTGAGGTTGCGGGTATTGCGTACAGTGTTAACTCCCGCAAGTACTTTTAAATAGGCTACTCTTTTACTCTTACTCAAGTAGTTTTTTGGACAAGTACTTTTACTCTACTCACACTACATTTTTTGGAAGGTAATGGTACTTTTACTTGAGTATATTTTTTCAGTACTCTTTCCACCACTGCTTGTTTCTTTGATCTTGAAAATAACATAGATTTAGTTTTAGTCACTTTCAAAGTCAGTTTTAGGCCAGAAGGTCACAAAGCCTTTGTTGAACAACATCAAAAGCACTCTGGAGTAAGGACACAGCTTGGTGTAATTTAGGTGCACTACAATAAATCACAGTGTCATCAGCATAAAAATTTAAATTAACATGACCAATATTAAAATCAAGATTATTAATATAAATGCACAACATCAGAAGCACTCTGTAGTGAGGACACAGCTTGATGTAATTTGGGTGCAGTACAATAAATCACAGCATCATCAGCATAAAAATTAAAATTAACATTACTAATTATTAACATCGAGGTTATTAATGTAAATAATGAAAAGTGGAGGCCCCAAAACAGACCCCTGAGGAACACCCCTCATAATCTGCAATGGTGCAGATGAATGGCCTTCCATTTGCACACAATGGGCCTCATTTATGAAACACGAGCAGAATAAATGTTTGTGTAAATCATTTGTAAAGCTGTGCTGATGTAAATTTTCGGATTCATGAAAGTGTTCGTATTTTCAAAATGTGAGTTGGTACCAAAGAAATTTACACCTGCTCCCTGCCACGTGTAAATGGTGCGTAAAACGGCCTGTGTTCTTTTTGTTAAACTGATGACACTGAATTTTGATGCACTGCCATCATAAAATTGTACAAGTTTGTTTGCTTTTTTTTTTTTTGTAGCTGAGAGTTGATAAAGTGTTTAGCTTTGGGTAAAATGCAGCGCTTGACACTGTCATTTTTTACCCAGCCATCCAATCAGTGGACAAGAGGCGGGACAAATACTACACCGACCAATCATCCTACTTGTACAACAACTGAACAACAATAGAGAAGTTAACATTGCTGGTTACTGCATTTTTATATTTAGTAATATTCTTCAAAGCATTCTCAAGCGCCACCAGCTGGTCGTTTTAAGAAGAGCGCCTTACATTTTTCAGCAGGCTAAAAACACTTTGGTGGGCACACGT